GAAGGTTCCTTCCGGGTAAGTTACTTAGTCGAGAACGTGAGAAGCTAGAAGACTGGAATTTTGAGGAGGTGTTTCCTGACAATTTTGAGGAGGTGTTTCCTGCCAGTCTGAAATTCTTTCAACTAGAAGCATCTACCGAAAAAACCGACACCGGTAGCAACAAAAACTGCGGGGAACTCTGCAAAAAACGCATCTTCGCACGGGCAGCCCGTGCGTTATGACAGTTTTGGCGGCCAGTCTGAAATTCTTTCTACTAGAAGCATCTGCCGAAAAAACCGATGCCGGCCAAAAAACTGCGGGGAACTCTGCAAAAAACGCATCTTCGCACGGGCAGCCCGTGCGTTGGCCATTTAACAAAAACTGCGGGGAACTCTGCAAAAAACGCATCTTCGCACGGGCAGCCCGTGCGCTGGCCAATTGAAAACTGCGGGGAACTCTGCAAAAAACGCATCTTCGCACGGGCAGCCCGTGCGTTGGCCAATTATTGCATCTTGATATTTAGTCGAGTACTTGCTGTAAATAAGAATTGAAAGGCTTGGCATAGCTGCGCCTAACATGTGAAAATTTTCCAGTAAAATCACTAACACCAAATCTTTATATTGCTCGTTGAAGCATTTTGCAATATATGCTGCAATTGTTGCTTGAATCATTTGGATAGGAATACTAGTATAGTCCATCAGACGTGTTTTTGTTTTGATATAACTAAAATAAAAAGGATTTTATTGTTGAAATAAGAAAGAAATTAATAAAACTTGAAATATTTTTCAAAATATTTTGTAATGGTAGGGGATTTTTCGGTTCATTAAGTCGTATACATTTCTTACCATTATCACAATTGAAACTGGTCAGTACGGTGACGTGGTGTTTAGTATGAATTTGAGTTTAGTGTAAGTAGCTGTGTTATTGCAACTAGTAAAAGTCAAGTAAAAGTTTGCCGTTTGTGTATCTCACTTGGTTACTTTCTCACCGTCTTTTTTTTTTTTTGTAACTGGCCGATGCACTTGACATCTCTATTTTACTCTATTTTGTGCTTACCGCATCCAATTCCTTATAGGAATTTGATTAGATTTTACCTTTTTCAACGGCCTTGCTAAGGTTTGGTACAACATTAGCGGTATGGAGATTTACGGAGTCACCTAATAGTTCAGAATGTCATAGACGTTGCTGTTTCAAAGCTCTGTTTTTAAATATTTCAGGAAATGAGTGCACGTGAAGCAGCTGAGCAAAAACAACGGGAATACGAAGAAAGGATGGAAAGAATGCGAGAAGAAATGGAACGGGCACAGCGTGAACTCTCATACGCACAAGACACAATAAGACGCCTTGAACAGCAACTTCATGAGCTACAGGTCTGTTTGTGTCCAGTGAATTTTTAGAAAATTGTATCCGAAAAATTGCTATCAAAATTTTGCTTATTGAATAGTCTCAGCCCATAAATTTCAAGGGATAGTTGAAAGAAATATATGTGTACGTGTTCGTGCGTGCACTTGTGTAGGGTTGGGGGTGTGTATATGGGTGTGGGGGTGTGTGTATGTGGGTGTGGATGTGGATGTGGGTGTGGATGTGGGTGTGGATGTGGATGTGGGTGTGGATGTGGATGTGGGTGTGGATGTGGATGTGGGTGTGTGTGTGGGTGTGTGTGTGTGTGTGTGTGTGTGTGTGTGTGTTTGTGACATGAAATAATGAGCTGAGCGAAAAGTTAAGGTTTCTTAAAAAAAAAAATTATAGGGCGCTATTAACGAACAATATTTTTGACACTTTTTGAAGTCTGGTTGAAATTTGTTGATTTTCAGCTGGCCAAGGAGCAACTGGAAG